TCTCAAACAGGGAGATTTTGCCCGCAGGGCACATCAGGCCATGTCTGGATACATTTGTGATGGTTGTGACTCAGGGTGTGCTACTGACATCCCCTGGGTAGAGACTGGGGAAGCTGCCCACCACCCTAAAAAGCCTAGGACAGCTCCCTCTTCTCCCCAGCAGAGAACTCTCAGGTCCCAAATGTCAGCAGTGCCCAGAAGGTCGGAAAGCCTGCTCCATGAATAACCTCTGCCCTTTAGTTCCTCTCATAACTACAACAAAGAGAAAAGGAAAAAAGCAGCGGCAACAGAGCTTTCTGTGCTTTGTAGCAAATGATACAGCTTCAACAGCCCTCTGAGATGGGTGTGATTGTTTCCATTTTACAGGTAAGGAAATTGAGGCTGAGGCACGTGGAGGTCCAGAGCTTGTTTGTGGCAGAAGAGAGACCAACACTTAGGCCTGCAGGACCCCACAGCACCCTTAACAACAGGCACTGCCCCGTCCCTGCAGAACTGGGACAACAGACTCCTCTCCCAGCCTCATGGGGTGGTAGAAAAAGGGAAACCCTGTTGCAAACTGAAGTGTCACATAAATATAGGGCACTGCTGTTATCTCCCTCCCAGGGGAGCACTGCGGGGTGGTGTGGAGAGAAGTGGAGTCACTCACAGGGTCCTCGAAGCTGGCGCCCAGGTGCTCCATGGCATAGTAGAGCTGTTTCTTCTCCCCCAGGGATCGAAGGATGAAGCGCTGGATGTTCTGAGATGGGGTGGACAGCAGGGAGAAGGGACAAGACAGAAGGAAGTTAAGTGGGGCAGGGAAGTCAAGGCGGGAGGGAGCAGGGCGGCCCTAGGTTCTGGGACAGCCTCACTGTTCCTTAAACCGGCACCGTGCCTCTCCATTCAGCTTCCCTCCCTCAAACAGCTTCCCTCCCTCAAGCAGCTTCAGGGCGACTGGGCTCAAACTGGGGGAGGGGAGAGAGAGAGAGAGAGAGTGTGTGTGTGTGTGTGCACAAGGTCGGGGCAGGCAGGGCTGAGGTTCAAGGGAGAGGGATGGGCTGGCACTTGGACTCAGAAGTCGAGTCTCAAGTGGAGACACATCAGATGCTGGACTTGGGGTTGCCTCTGGTGACCAGAATTGGGGGCCAGGGCTGGGTCACTTCTCAGGTATATTTGTTTGACTCAGGGCTACCACAGGGTCAGTGTGGGGGAGGCGGTCACCTCTCTTGGCCGAAGGCCTGGTCTCGGCTCTCCCAGCTGGGCCTGGTACTGGTTCAGAGCCTTCTTGGCAGCCTCATCCTCCGGGTAGAAGAGCAGGACACTCAGGACATTTTCCACAGCCTGGGACAGATTCCCCACTGGAGACAGAGTGATAGGGTGGGGTGGGCACAGAGACCAAGAATGGCGGCAGTCTCTGGGCAGGGGCAGAGGCAGAACCGGAGAAGGTGGTCTCCCAGGGCCGGCCAACTCCAAAGCCCCCATCCCACCGGACAGACACGCTCCTCCACCACGGCCTCTCTCATAGCTTACGAAACATCCCTGAGCTGTATGGGCAGAGTTCAAAGGGGAAGAAGAGAGGTGAGAATAAAGGAAGGTGAGAAGCAGCGGGGCAGAAGGAGCCCTAGGACCCGTCTCCTGAGCCTTCCACAACGGTGCCAAAGGACAGCAAACTAGAGTCCTCCCGAAGTGATGGTCCCCATGGAGCCCTGACCAACTAGAGATCTAGAGACATATGGGAGGGGTGGAGAGATGGGGCTCAGGATACCACAGGAGACAAACCTTCACCTTCCCTGTCTGCAGCCCCAGTCACCCCCAGGGTTCCCCCTTCCCAATCTGACCTTGAGCATATGCCTCGTGCAGCCGCCTCAGCTGGCTGGGAAGGAAGTCGGGCACAGGGAAGCTGCGACCAGGACGTGTGGCTGTGTCCCCCACACAGCGCTGCCGGCACTGCAGGACCTGAATCCAGTGCCCTGTGGAGGACACATGAGCCATTGAGCTTGTGCATGTTCCCCCTCCGCACCGAGAGCCCCGCACTCCCACCTGCCTACCTGCAATGGCCTCATAGAGGCCCCCCTGGCTCCCAGCCCCTTCTTCCTCCTCTTCCTGCCTCTGCTGCTCCTCAGGCCCCTCACAGCCAGCCCGGCAGCTCTCCATCTGGGCCAGGCTCTCCTGCAGGGCCTCCTCGAGCTTGGGCAGTGCCAGTCCTGCCTCCTGGCGCCCCAGAAGCTCCAGGCCAGTGTCATAGGCTGCCTGTTGGGGAAGGAAGTGGTCAGGTACCTGAGATCCTGGGGGAGGGGGTGCCAAACAAGACTGGGAGGTAGAATGAAGGGGAGGGGTGTTGGTCTCATTTGGGGCATGGATGTCACATCCCACTTCATCTTGGGGAAGACAGGGGTGGGCCTCAGAATCAGAATGTTAGAACATGGGACTTTATAGTGATCCTCAGGAAGGAAACCAAGTCCCAGAGGGGGACTCCCCATTTAGGGTCACTGAAGACAGTACCCAGATCTCCTGAGGCCTAAGCTGCACAGGGCCACAGTCCAGTGAGGCCTGTATATCCAGCCAGTCAAAGTGGGACAGGGCTTGTGCTGAGGGTCTCACCCAGTGCGGGGGCGTCTCCAGGTCCCGGAAGCTCTGGGGCCGAACCCCGGACATGCGTCTGTACTTAGCCATGTCCTCCCGCATCTGCAGGTGTGTGGGGTTTGCTACAAAGAAGGTATGTGCTGCGGCCGCTGCCAGGTCCAACTTCTTCAGCTGAGATGCCAGGGAAGGAGGAGGGAGTCAGTGCCCTGAGGTGTGTGAGACCAGCCTTCCCACTGCAGACACACACCTGGGACTGCCCCTGAGCCTTCTGGAAAACTTGTCAGAACTGCCCATCTTCCAACCTCCAGACCCCCTAGAAACCAGTAAGTTGGGCCTCTAGGGAGTCTGGTAGCTAAGAAAGGGGGCTGTGAACACTTTGGAGTGGCTGCATATGGGCAGAGGGCCCTCAGATTGGAGACAAGATGAAAATGATGGCTAACTGAAGTGGGGAAGTGGGGGGACCTGAGCGCCAGGAAAACCCGCAGGTCTCTAGGACCCTGAGCTGAGGTGTGTGTGACCAGCGCCCCCCCTCCCCAGCCACGTAGGCAAGCAGCTACGGTACTAATAGCTGTGCCGTGTCCCCTGCCCCCGCCCCCAGACACCCGGCCACGCGGGCCCTCAGCCTTGCCTCTCTCCTCTTACCTTCCCAAAGCTCCCTCCTGCCCCAAGTAAAGGCTCGCACTCACCCCTCACTCCCATACCTCCTCTCCGGCGGGTTTTGCCCCCAGCCGCTCCGCTTCATTCCTAAGTAGAGGCGGCGCTCACCCCCACGTCGGTCTCAGACCCGCAAAAATTTCAGGGCTCTTCCCTCCATCATCAATCTACTTCCACCTTGCCCCCAATTCCAACTTTGCTCCCCCCTCCCTTAGGCTGTCCCTCTGCGACCTCAGTGGGTACTTGACGTGTTTTTACGGGACCTACCCGAAGGAGAGGTCCGCTGACCGCCTCCCACAGCCCCACCCCGGGTCCTGGGCGCTAGCATTCCGCCCTCTCCTGGTGAGCTCGAAGTAGGGTGCAACATGGGTCGGGCATGACCCAAGAAACTGCCGGCGCCGCTCCCGCACCTGGTAGTAGGCCCTCTGCAGGTAGTTGTAGGGCTCGCGGCGGCGGAAGGCGTCCCGGATGGCGCTGCCCACGCGGAGCCGCGCCGCGCCCCCGGGGCCCAACCTCTGCGCCCCGCACTGGGTCAGGCACTCGGCGCGGCGGAGCGCGGCCCGGAGGAGCAGCCGCTCCCAGGCCCCCTGCGCCGGTCCGGGCCCAGAGTCTGGCCCCGGGGCGTCAAGGAGCACGACGGGGAGCGCGGCCCCCGGCTCGGCAGCACAGCGCGCCCCGCAGTCCCGGCGCGCGCGGCCCAGCGCCGCCTGGCTCCGCAGTGCCTCCCGCAGCAGAGCCACGGCCGGCGCCCAAGCCCCGGCCGCGTAGGCGCGCAGCCCGTCGGCGTAGAGCAAGTCCGGGGCCTGGGGGGGCGCCCCCGGGGACAGCGAGGTCAGGCCGGGGGGCTCGGGGGATCCAGGGGGTGGCAGCAGCAGCAGTAGCAGCAGCAACCGGAGGAGCCGGAGCATGGTGCGAGAGCCGCCGGCCGGCTGCCGAAGGGAAATGCGGGATCAGAGGGGGAGAGAGAGGAAAGGGAGGAGGGAGAGGGAGGGGAAAGGAAGGAGAGATGGAGAGGAGGGAGGAGAGGAAGAGAGCAGGAATGAGCGGGGCCAAAGAGGGCAGATGGGGCAGAGACCCAATACTGGCAGAGGCCAACATGAGAGCGGCAGAAGTCAGAGGAAGCCTGGCAGGAAGTGGAGAGAGCGGGGGTTTAAGACAAGTGGGTAGTGTGGGATGAGAAACAGACCGTGGAGTGATCGAGGAGGGCGAAGGGCCGAACGGGAGCCGCCTGTGCTTTGGAAGACAGCCTAAGGAGCCTCTTAGAACCCTTGACTCCAGCCCTGAGGCCCACGCTGGGGAGTACGACTGTGGCTGTGTTCTCCTCCACTCTTGGGTCCAGGAAAGGGAGTGTGAATTCCTCTCACACTCAATCACCCACACACACTTTTGGAAAAAGAGCTTTAGAATGCAGCACGGAGGAAGGTAAACTCCAGGCCTGGCACACCATGTCAGGCCCAAACCCTTTCCTGCCTGGAAAGTAGGCCCCTAGATGGGTTTAGGCAGGGAGGAGAGTTGGGGCACGGGGCACAGAGTCACACTCTAAAACCACCTCCGCAAATCTGAACAAAGATCCTTCACACCCCAAAGGAGAAAACTCAAGTGTCTCCCCTCCCCCCCCAGCACGAGATGCTCTTGTAAGCCTGTCTCTGTGTATGTCTGCATGTCTTTCTCTGTGTGATTTCTGTGCTTCTGTCTACTGCCCCTGCTTTATTTCATCCTCTGTGAGCCACTCCATCCCCAAGCCTCTGACCACACCCTTTGCCACCCTAGTACACTGGACACAGAGGTTTCCATAGTAACACTTCAGACTTTAATACATTTGCTAGGGATGATGGAAGGTGAGTAGGGCATCTGGTCACTTGATGGGAGACAGCAGGGCCTCCAGGGCCCAAGGTCCAGCGCCCATCTCCCTGGAGTCTGGAGGCAGCTGCCCTAGGCTCAGGGCCAGAACAAGGCATTACTCACCCAGGCCCCTTCCTCTGAGTCCAGCAGGCCCACCTGGGCTCACAGGGTCAGCTGGGGAAAGATAGGGTTACCTGGGCCCCAGGACCCTCCCCAAGCTCTTGCATTACCCTCACCTCCTGTCAGGGAGCAGCGTCTCCCTGAACTCAGCCCCAGTGGAAGTCCCAGGGCTCTGCTATCAGGGGATCCAAGGGAGAGTCGGCGGGGTGAGAGGCCCAGTGGCCTGAGCCGGCGAGGAGAGGGCCCTGGCGAGGCAGTTGGAGAAGGCAGAGGTGTCTCATCGATGAAGGTGGTGATCTCCTCCCGGAAGAAGCCAGGACCCCGTGGGGGTCCCCCACCTGACCCCAGAACCCCACCCTCCAGGAATTGGCGAAGGCTTGCCAGCCCCCCACCTTCAGCCTCCTCTTCGTCCTCCTCATCCTCCAACCTTTGTCTTCCTCCCAGGTACTCAGGAGGGCCCCCCAGGGCCCGGCTCTGGGCTGGGAGGACCCGGATGTCATCAGAGGACGACCACTTGTGCAGGAAGGAGCCTGGTGCCCGAGGAGTAGTGAAGATGTTGGTCTCATCGTGGGACAGGCGGCGGGACAGAGGGACCTGGGGAGAGGAATAAGTAGACCCAGAGGTGCTGCAGGGACAAAGGGATGAAGGCAGGCAGGAACAAAAGCGGGTACTCTGCAAGACGGCTCCACCCCCTTAATGTTTTCCAAAACATCCTCTGATGGGCAACTGTGGTTCTGAGAGGTCTGAAAGGGACCTCCTCTTGCCATGCCTTTCACCTGCCCTTCTATGCCCTGCAGGCCAGGGCTCCGGAATGGGGCGTCGGGATGGAGAACAGAAACTGGAGAAAAGTAGTGAGGGGATACCCAGAAGAGGAGGTGCATTCCCTGGACCCGTACCTGTAAGTAGTGGACCCTCTCCAGAGGGGGAAAGAGCATGTGCCTTCCAGGCAGCAGCTTCACCTGGGTGGGGTCCCTGCCCCCTGGTCCTGTGGCCCCATTAGCATCAAAGCGAACTTTGCACACCCGGCCATCTGCATAGTCATCACAGCCCCCATCTAGGAGAGAGAAGGGGCAGAGTGGTTACAGACAGGGAATACCCACCCCCTCCTCGCCCCCTTTAAAAAGCTCCTGCCCCCCAGAGAACCCTGTTCCCACTAGTCTGTCAACTCCAAAGGGAAAGCGAGAGTGGCTAGCGTCTGTTGTGTTCACTGCTGAATCCCTAGTGCTTGACACATATAAACATATTTATCGAAACAGTTACTTCCCCCCAAGAGCTGACCCAGTATTTGGGGGACTCTCAGGAAGCTTAGCCTCCCCTTAGTTCCACAACCTTCTTTATGGTTGTGTTAGGACTCTGGACTGTTTCTCAGGCACTCTGCCCCACGGAGGCAGAGCTGGGTAGTGTGGGCTTCCAGAGGGGAACCGATGCCCCGTGGAGGGAGCCCTCGGTGCAGAAAGAAGCAGTGGGTGTGTATCAGGGTGCTCGATTAGAGAAAGGGGAGCCTGCAGTCAGCCAGGGGCGGCGCAGGTTCTGTCCAGCAGGGGGCACTCCAGGGCAGCCCGTCCCGCACAGAGGAGGGCTGGGAGGAAAGGGAGCCTGAGGCCCAGGAAAGCGAAAGCCCAGTCCCTCCTCTGACCGTCGTCGCCATCCTCCTCCGACATGATAGCCACGCACTGCTCCCACACCGTGCGCACGTCAGCGCGGTAGCGCTCGCAGGACCAGATGAAGGAGGGCAGCAGCAGCGTCTGTGCCATGGAGCACCACAGCACAGCCAGCACCATCCACGGGGGAGCCGAGTCCGACTTAAGGGAGAAGAAGCTCACCACCTGGCGGGAGGATGGGGAATGGTGCCGAGTCAGGGCCCAGGGCTGAGGGGGCCCACCTGACCCCAGATCTGATACCCTAGTGCAGCTGGTGGGCAAGAAGTCAGGAAGCTATGGCCGGGATCACACAGGATCATGACAGAGGCAAAACTGGAGATGGAGACGGGATGAACAGGGGAAGGGACTGACTCAGAGGAAGGTCAGGGGAGAGTACTGGAGACAAAGCCTTGGGGTTCGGAGGGAGAGGAGCACAGGTGGTACAGTAAACTTCTAGAACAGAAATTCACGAATAAGGATTAGATGGGGAGGCAAAAAGCTGGGGTGGCAGGGTGAGCTCTGTGGGGTGCTCACAAGAGTGCTCAGAGAGCCTGTGGTATCTAGAGGGAGTTGGGGAATGGAGAGTGGAGCTCAGTAGCTGGATGATAGGTCTGGAGGCGGAATAGTGGAGCCGCAGGATAGATGATGGAGCTGGAGGATAGGTAGTGGAACTGAAGGATGGATGATGGAGTTGAGTAGTGGGAACTGGAAAACAACGGAGCTGAGGATAAGGGGAACTAGAATATGGATGATGGAAATGGGGGCTCACAAATGGAGTGGGGATGGGTAGAAGAGAGGAAGATGGATAATGGAGCTACTGTATGACTGATGGAGTTGGAGGTCAGATGATCATGCTAGGGCCTGGATATTGGGGAGAGGAGATGGAGGGACCCCGATCTCACCAAGATGGGCACCCCCGTGAGTGAGTCATAGAGAAAGACGATGGCGCTGACCAAGTTGGTGACCTGCAGGGATGTCTTGGCCGACTCGGAGCCATCCAGCGAGGACCGCCGCTTCCCTCGGGCATCCTCCACCACAATGGCTGGCACCTCAAAGGCTGGCCGGGTGCCCAAACCCCCTGGCCCACCACCCTTGGCCCCGCCTACACCCCCCGCTCTCCGAGCCTGCCGAGCCCTCCGGGGCCGGGCCCACAGTGTCTGGTAGAAGGTGATGGCCACACAGACCAGCCCCATGACGATGCCCCCAAGTAGCAAGAGGCTGAAGCAGACGCCAAAACCGAGGCCAATCTTGGAGACTATGAACTGGCAGCCTCGGGCGTAGTAGCGCTCGCCATTGTTGTGCCAGCCAATGGAAGGCAGTGTGGAGAGGATGAAGCTGACCATCCAGATGCCCATGACAGCATGCAGCGCCTGCTTCTTGGCGTTGCTGAGGCGGTAGTTGACGGGCCAACGCACCATCCACATGCGATGGTAAGAGAGGGAGGCGACTGTGAAGCAGGTGGCCAGGGCCAGTGTGTAGTAGGTGGACACAAAGACCTTGCAAATGCTTTCATTCCAGTCATAGTCGGAGGAAGCCTGGCGCCGCAGCTGCACCACAGCGAAGGTGGTGAGGGGCACAGCCGCCATGAGTATGTGTGTGCCTGCCAGGAAGCAGAGCAGCAACTCCAGCGGCTTGTGCTTCTGCTGCTTGGCCGAGATGCTGAGGATGATCCAGGCATTGGCCAGCAGTGCCAGGAGCCCACAGGCCAGCCAGGACAGCGCATTGGAGCGCAGGGAGGCCTCCTCTGCCCCCGCCCCGCCCCGAGCCATCCTATCCTCGGCCCCCCACCCCCCTTGAACTCCTGGGGGTGGGGGCTAGGTCTCACCCAGGAGCCCCACTCACACACAGCCCCATGATGCCCACAGTCCTTGCCCCGTGGTGAGGCAGGCCGCCCCTAGGCCTACTCTGGTGCTCAGCATTGCATGACTGACCCAGCTAAGGTCAGGTGTGGAGGGCGGGGGAGGAGACTGAGGGTCAGCAGAGGCAGTCCTCAGCTTCCATGTTGGGCGGGGCCCTTCCTGAAGTCTCCCTGTAGTAGATGGGGGAGGAAAGCTGACTGCTTTCCCAACTAGGAGGCTGGCCGGGGAGCTCTAGTCCCCATGGGGACTTGCAGGTCTCTTCTTCTTCTGGTTCTTGACCAGTCAGGGATCTTCTGGATGCCCCCAGGGGTGTAGGGGTGAGGCTCAGCCACTTGGACAAACTGCAAGGGAGAGATGAGATGTGGGAGGGAGAGGGCAGAGGTGGGGCCTAGGCTGATCTCCAACTGGTTTCTTGCGCCCCCCCCCCCCCACCTTGAAACTAAAGATATGACTGATTACTAGTGGTCATGGGATCTTTTGGAACATTCTCCTGCCTTAAATCACATGGCCACTCAACCACACAGATAAGAGTCCTGCTTTCCAGACCTCCAGGAAAGGTCTTCTGACCTCCTGGCACTCAACCTTTTTCTGGCCCTTTCCCCTCTCTGGCACTCCCAGCTTCCTTCTTCTTATATTCCTTGCTCAGTACGACTCAACTCCTATCTTCATGTCTCTGAATCCTCTTCAGAGCTACTGATGGCAGACGCGGGACTTGTTTCTTCTTGAGGGTTCATGGTCAACTGGGCTATGGTATCACAGCCCCTCCCCAACCTTCCAGGCTCTGGGCCCAGTGGTCTTCGGGCTCAGCCCCATTTCCCCAAGCCTGCGTGATTGCCCTCCAGCTCACCAGGATCTGGGAAGATGGGAGAAGGAGGCTGGGACCGAGGGGGGGCTAGGGAACCCGAAGGCGGGGAAGCCGCTGACATCAGAAGCATCCAGAAATGGAAAGAGGGGGAACTAGGGGAAGGAGGAGAGTTTGAGCAGAAGAAAAAGGAAGAGGGGCAAAGTGATAGTATCTGAAAATAGCAGGAAAGTGTGGAGACCCCACAGGAGGCTCTGGAGGGAGGAGGGTTCGGACACAGGTAGGGAGCCAGGAATAGGGAGGCCAAGAAGAAAAGCCCAGCATTCAGTAAGGTGCTGACTCCCACTGGCAGACCTCAATTCTTCCCTCCCCTGCCCCAGCCTCAGTTTCCCCCTGATGGGAGGAAGGATAGTCCTGAATTTCCTGACGCTAAGCTTCAGTGAGCCCTGGGGAGGGGGCTAAGAGAAATCAGTGAAGCCCTGAACAGAGTCAGGCTGAGAAGATGGGCATAAAGGCTTTGGTATAAACGGGGGTAAAAGGGGGGCACAGCAGTGGGAAGGCCTATCTCCTGTGCTAGGACCTCAGACCCCTGCCCTCCCCAAGAGGTCCTAGTCCACCCCCACCTTTGTTTTCCCTCCGGAGCCCAGTACACCTAGTTGCCATGGCAATGGCCAGCCAGAGGGAGGTGGAGGGAATTGGTCAGAAGCCGGCCCCACCACCCTCCCCTACAGCCTTGGACCCCTTCCCACCCACCCCAACCCAGGCCCAGTGGGTGGGCTCAGAAAGAAAGAAATGGGGAGTCAGAGAGGGAGGGAGGCAGGGAGGATGTGAAGGACAGAGAAGGAGGTGAAGGACAGAGAAAGATCAGAGGAAGGTGGGAGGGGGATCTAGGGGACTCCATGGTGGACAGGGGTCCCTCACCCTTTAGCGTGAAGGGGTAAGGTCAGGCGGCTCCTCCCTCCTGCCACCCACCGCGTTCTCCAGGGCAGAAACAGCAGGTGGCTGGGGAGGAGGGGCTGGCCAGAGGGGAGATGAGGCAGCTGCGGGGGAAGAGGGGAGGAGACCACGGGGGACAGGGCAGGGGTCGTCCTACCTCTGGCTGCGCCTGGCACTGCCATGGAGACCGCACTCCCGACGCGGCTGGCCCGGGCTCCCGCCGCCTGCCGGCTCCAGCTCGCCCGCCCTCCTCCCTCCCTCTCTTCCTCCCTCCCTCCTCCCTCCGGGCCTCCCTCCTCCCCCTTGGTCCCAGGCTCTCGGCTCAGCCCCGAGGCTCACTCCGTCTCTGCCCCCTAGGTCTCTCCAAGGCTCTCTCTCCCGGAGACTCCCTGCCCGTGGGCCGGGGGCGGGGGACTGAAGGACAGGTTTGGTGGGGGGGGGATGAGTGTAGGGCGGGGAACTGGACGGTGGTGGTGACTTGGAGGGGGAGGGGCAAGGAAGGCACCGAGAGGGAGGGGGGCGAGGAGGCTGGCGAGGAACTGGCTTCATTGGTGAAACGGTTCGTGTCCTGCCCCCACCCCACTCTGCTTTTCAACACGAACACAGGCTCTAAGAGGCAGCTGGTGTTGTTCAGGGACTGAGGAGCTGGCTGTTCCAGGAGGAGGAAGAGTGTGTCACCGTGTGTCACCGTGTGTATCCTAGTGAGGGCTGTGCCTGGGGTGTAGCTCAGAGGGGCATGTGCTGGAGGCTATGGGAAGCCAGGGGCCCTTGTGATGAAGCTGGGGCTGCTTAGGGGGTGGGGGCTACACAGGTCTAAGAGGATGCAGGCACACACACAAACACGCATCCCATTTCCACCTCCTGGAACACAAACTCACACTTATATTAGGGGTACACACAGCTCGCAGGCACTACACACATACACAGGTGTAGCACACATACTCACATACCCTCAGGCTGTCTACCTCGCACGTGTGATTACAGTGTCTTAGCCTCACGCGCACATGTACACACACACACACACACACACACACACACACAGAGGGTCCTTTGGGGTGGGTAGGTGGTAATCAGCCTCCAGAGAATTTTTCCCCCCTGGGGAAACTTCGTCTCCTTCCTGGGGCAAGTGTGGTAACCCCTCTTCTGGGTCTCACCCCAAAGATCAGAAGATTCCAGGTCCCCAGAGAAGAGACCACCTTTTTCTTTTTTTCTCTTCCCCCCCCCCCCCCCCCACAAAAGTGAAGAACATCTCCTTTATAGTAAGTTTGTTGTATTTTTCTGTCAGCTCAGGGGGCAGGGGTGGGGCGGGGGCAGGAATACAAAGCAAGCAGTGGGGGGCCCTGGCAGCAATGGGCTGTTCTTCCTGGAAGAGGCAATCTGGAAAGAAAGGAAGCCTGAAAGGGGTCAGGACAGCGGGAGGTGGTGAGAAAGGAAAGGAAGGAGAGGCAGAGGAGGTTGGGATCCTGAGAGAAATGGACCAAGAGAAGGAGGAAGAATACTTGTCACCCCAAGTTCCTGTGTCCTGAATGGTGTTGGGGAGAGATGGAGGAGGGTGCAGGGCGAGGGCACTGAGGCCCAGCACTATCACCTTTCAGAGGAGGGTCCCTCACAGTTTCACTTTCAAGCCAGCTCCCTACCCTCTCCCCCACCTTCCGGAAGCTCACCTTCCAGAAGGTTCTGCTCAGGGTGAGTGGCAGGTCACTGGGCACTCCCTCCCACAGGGCCTTACTCCCAGCCTGTGCTCTGATTAGGAGAACTGAAGGCTGTGTCCTCTGATAAGATTCTGCCCCCAGGAGGTGATGAAGGAGGGATCTTAGGCAGGGAGGCCCTCCCCCGTGTTCCTGAACTCTCTGAGGCAGGCCCTGCCTGTGGTGGTGTGCTCCTGTGAATCCAAAGGTACACCCTGGGCATCTATGACTAGCCAGCAGAGGTCTCTGTGGTGTTTGTCCCTGTGCTCAAGAAATAGCAGTAGAATTAGGGGGCAAGAGACATGGGCTAGTCCTGACTCTGGCGCTTACTAGCTGTGGGACCTTGGGCACATCTTACCTTCCCAGTTCCATTTCTGGTCTACAAACTGGAGATACTAATCTTGGGCTTGTCATTACCAGCCTTGTTGGATTTGCATAAGGTTCAAATAGACAAAGGATGTGAAACTGGTTTATAAACTGAGAGAGTCTGCTTGGGTGATAAGGAACTGCGTCTGTGCACAAGTTTGGGCTGTGTACGTGGGTGCGTGTCCAGGGGTGCCTGTTTGTGCACAGGGCGGGGTGTGAGTCTGTAGCCCAGCCCACACAGGGTGAGAAGCAGGCCAAACGGAGCAGTGGAGGCTGGCAGTCAGGAGCCTTTGGATCTGGGTCTGTCCTCGACTGGCTATTCCTCGACTGGCTATTGTGATCTTGGGCTGGTCCCTGCCCTCTCTGATTCCAGGGTCCTCTCCCTTAAAATGACAGTCCTACATGTCATGTTGACATGTGCTACATGCTTCAGAGGCCCAGCCTCACCCTCCAGGCCAGGCAGGGCTGGTCCCACATGCTCTCCTGGGATCCAAGCGGGCAGTGACGGAGAGAGCTGAGAGGAAATAATCAAAGAAGGGCTAGGGCTTGAGTGAAGAGGAAATGGGAAGAGATGGTGTGAGTAAGCCTCTGGAAAAGGAACACGGATGGCCAACTGTGAACAAGGAGAACAGGAGATGGCCAGAGGCACTGGGATCTGCTACATCTGTCTGGTTCACAGGTCCAGGAAACGCAAGGAAGACGGCTGGAGAGGCTGCAAGTGGGGAGCGCCCCCTGGCCAGTGCCTCAAATGAGGTTACCTGTCTTCTGGAACCGGCTGGAGGAAGACAGAACAAGAGGAACAAGTCTACTTCTCCCCAGTTCCTTTGCATTCTAGGACTCCGAGACCTCACTCTTTTCTTCCAGGGCAGTGACAGCCTCTGGGCCACAGCTACAGTGCCACATCCAGAAATATCCCAGGCCTGCTGCCCCTTCACCTCTGCCCTCCACCTTCTGCCTGCTTCCTATCTGCCCAGCCACCCATTTTCACCTTTCCGCCACTCCACCACTGCCATTTAGCCTCTATCTCCTCACCTCCATCCACCTCCCTCCTCATCCCCTCCCCTCCTCTTTCCTCCCCTCTTCCCCTCCTGCCCTCCTCGTCCCTCTCTCCCCCCAGCTCCTTACTGGTGGCACTGGCAGGTCTTCTTCTCACTGAGGAGTCTCTTGATCTGAGACATCCGCTCTGCCTGGCGCTGTCCAGGAAGAAGGAAGGGAGTCATGAGGGTCCCAGGCCTCCAGAAGGGAGGTGCCCCTTGGAGAGGGGACAGGGAAAAGCTGGGAGAGGAAAGCAGTGACTGTGGCTGAGGCCATCTGTCCCAGAATTAACTCTCTGCTCCTCCCTGTCTCTCCCTCCGCTTGGGCTCTGGGACAGGGCCCAGTCTGCAGCTGAGGGAACTCCGTGGTGGGCAGAGAGAGCCAGAGCAGAAGCAGGTAGGTCACATATACCAGATGCCCTTGTTGCGGTACAGGCCTCAGGTCCTGTACAGCCCTAGAGTCCTGGGGACGGGGTGAGGGGGGGTCTGGGGAGGCTCACTCACCCTGCGGTGCCAGCACTTAACACAGCAGAAGATGAAGAACCCAGTGAAAAGCAGGAGGCCTGCGACACCCCCCAGCACGGCGGCCAGGAGCTTTGGCGAGGCTTGGGGGAACGATGTGGCCAAAACTGCATGAGAGAGAGGGGTGTTCATTTCCCTGCCCTCCATCAGGGCACAGGGCACCCTGGAGGGCTGGCGGAGACCCTGCTGCCCAGCCATGCTTGGGACTGAGCCTTGGGCTGGGAGAAGGGGGCAGGGTGTACAGGACTCTCACAGGCCACCAGGGCTGGAGGGGAAAAGCTGGGAAAGGGGTTTTAAGGTTTAGAGCCTACAGGGTACTCTGGGGAGCTAGAAGCAGGGGTCCAGCCTGAATGAGTACGTGCATGCGTGCGTGTATGTGTGTGTGTGTGTGTGTGTGTGTGTGTGTGTGTGTCTGGGTTTGGAGAGTAGCCAGGGAAAGGGGCTCTTAGTCAGGTGGGCCCCATTCCTGGGCTGTAGACCTTAGGGAAGTGGGAACTTAGAGGACCACAGGTGGGAACCTAGAACCTGGGACCACACCCCACTTCACCTCATCACCCCCGTGTGTCCAGGCACCATACGTATAAACCACCCATCTCAGAGAAATTGGGAGGCTGGGACTCTGGGTGGTCTCCGTCTACCCCAGGAAGGTCCCACGGCTGAGGAGGAAGGTGATTGGGGTTAGGTCATGGGATCTGGATCTTCACTCACCCTCGATCTTGGATTCCAGCAGGACTTTGCCATTGTCACTCAGTAGACACTGCCATGTCCCCGTCTCAGGGTCCGGCACCTTTACCAGCTTCTGCGAATTTGAAACCTTTGCAGTCTGGTCAGTCTGGTTCTCCAGCTTCAGGCTCAGCATCAGCTTGGGGGAGGAGGGTCCCAGCACCTGGCAGGTCACATCATTCTGGGACCTAGTCACTGCAAGGGGACAAGAGCCTGAGGCTGGGAGCCTGGGCCTCTGTGTTCTCAGCACCTCCAGGCTCTAAGGGAATTCAGTAGAACAATCAAAATGATATTTTTCATGGGCACCCCTCTTTTAGCCTCTTAGAGCACATTTTCATGCAATTAAAATAGAGAAAACATAGCTTTTAAGGCCCAAGGCTATGGGATTTGAATCCCAGGCCCAGTGCTTACTAGCTGTGTATTCCTGAGCGAGTTACTTAACAACCTGAGCCCCAGACAATAGTTAAATGCACAAATACCTGTAAAGCTCTTGAATGGGGCCTGGCATGTCCTAAGCATCAAGTATGAGCCATTATTATTTGTGGAGTTGTTATGATGATTCAGGAGATAAAGAAGTGAGGAACTCCATGTGGAGCCTGACATCACCATCACCACTATCCCACTAAGGGCAGGTTTTGTTACCCTCAGGAGGGGAAGGCAGACCTGCAGAGGCAGGGGCTCAGGCAGGGTCCTAGAGGGCTGGGCAGAGGCAGAATTAGAACTCTGGTTCTCAGTGCCTGCCCTTTGGGGATTCTCAGTGGAGCCGCTGGCTCAGGGATGTCAGGGAAGGACATGTAGATTCCAGCCTCAGTTCAAAGCCAGCCCCCAAACCAGAGGGCCCTCCATAAGCTCGATCAGGCAACCAGGGCCAAGGCAACCCTTGGGGGGCCTGCCCTGGAGGAAGCCCTGGGCCAGGCCCCTCCACCTCCTGCCCCTGTCCTCCCCTTCTAGCCTAGCTCCTCACATCTCATCACCACGAGGTTCACTTCCTGTTGCAACTCGCCCTTGGCAAGAAATAGTCTCAGCTTTCCAGAACCGGCATGCTTAGGCAGAGCCTGGAGCAGCTTGAAGCGGAGCGGGAGCATCTCCTCCACCTGGAGCTTGAGGTGTGAGGAAACACCTGTCACAGACACCTTCCTGTTGTCCGAGGAGAAGGAGATCCATTTCTGCTGGGAGGAAGCCCCCTCTGCCTGCCACTGCAGCTCCCCGCTCAGGTTTTCGTCTGCGAAGGTAAGCGGGAAGGAGAACTCCGCCTGTGTCCCCTCTTTCGCATAGACTGTGCGAGAGACTTTCTGGAAAGCTGGAGGTGGGAAGGGAGACAACCTGGGTCAGAAGGAGATAGGAAAATGAGGGTGGACGGGGAGGGGTAGGTGTGTGGGGGAGGCAGCAAAGAGATGGAAGGTGACCAGGTGAGTCCAGACCCCTAGGTTGCCATTCTGGCCCTTAGATCCCCATCTACCTCTCCAATCTTCTCTCTCATCTCTCCTCCCCCGCATGTTCCCACGGCAGTGCCCCCTCCCCATGGAAGCCCTCCTAGAACAGCCCAGCCACAGGGGAGCCTCTCCTCCTCAGGACCCCTGGAGCACAGAAGGCATTTGTCCCACACTACTTATGCGCATAATTTATCACCCTTCACAACATAGAGCAAATACTTAAAACAGGCTGACTCTGTGCCAGGCACTGTTGTCAGTGCGTTATGTAAATTAATTCTCCCCATAACACTACAAGGTAGGAACTACTATCCCAGTGAGCATCATCCCCATTTTACAGGTGCAGAAACCAGGGCACAGAGAGGTTCAGTAACTTGCCCAAGGCCAAACGGTTAAGTCAGCCAGGATTTAAATCAGAGTCCATGCACTTGACCACCACACTACCCTACTCATGTCACATAAGCATCGGAGGACAGGGTCTGGGATGGGACCTGAATCCTGGGCTCTTGGATTCCCCCATAGAGCCTAGCTCAGGATTTTAAAGGTGCAGTGTCGAATTCCTCAGGGCTGGCTTGCTGGTGTTCGTGCATTCACTGACTAGGTGGGAGTGGGGAGCTGAGGCAACAAAGAAAACAGGTGTCCTCGATGCTCCGCCTTTGGGGGCTCCTCCAGGGGTCTCTGGGGCCCTTCACCTCCTTACAGCCCCTATCCCTCCTTCCTCCGTGCCCACCACCCTGAGGGGCCCTTACATTCCTTCCTTCACATCCACCACCCTGAGGAGGGGCTGTTACTCAGCACCCTGAAGAAGTGAGGCCCAGCGGATCTGTCAGGACAGACTTCAGCTCTAAGGGGGCCTCAGCTTCCCTCCCTCCCCCAGCACCAGACCCAGGAGCAGAGCAGAGAGAACAGAAAGAGGGCCTGTCGGCCGCTGAGGCAGGGAGAGACTGCAGGGGAGAGGAGCTCCTCCTACCCAGCACCAAGATGTTTATGTTGAACACCAGTGTCTTCTGGTCCTTGGAGACGGTGCACGTCCAGGTGCCACTGTCCTGCAACCCCAGCTTGAGCAGGAAGCGGCTCCCCTGAGTCGTGTTTTGATGCCTGGGACCCTTCCATTGCACAGAAGGGTTACTACCAGAGGGGCTCTCCAAGGTCAGGGTCAAGTTCTGCCCCAGCAGCAGGCGGATGCTGCTGTGGGTGTGGGAGTTGGCAGTCACTGTGGAGGGAACAGGCCACCTGTGTCACACATACCCTATCCTCAAGGAGAAGGGAAGAAGCGGGGCAACCAAAAGTCTCTTTATTACCCCTGTCCCAACATCTCCCTTCCTGCCAACACCCAGCTGCCCACCCCCAGTCCAAAGCAGGGTTCCCCTCTCCCCTCCTCTTCCTCGTCTCCCCCTCCCCTCCTCCTCCTCTCTTCTCTTGTCTCTCTGCCTCCTTCCTCTGGCCCCAGCCCTTCTCTCTCCCCTCTCTAGGTCTCTTCCTCTCCCCGTGCCTGACCCAAGGCCTGAGGAGGCTTTGAGGAGATGTGGTGGCGAGTCTGATCTGTCTCTGGACAGTTGCAGTACCACCAGCTCAAGCCCTGGTTTGGGTGCAGGGATGGGAGTCAGGGAGAAAGGGAGACTGGCTGGAGGCATGCTCATCCCAGGTCTGCCCCACTCACATCTGAACACCAGCAATTCCACCTCTGTCTTCTTGTCCTCCACTTCACAGATGTAAGTCCCTGAGTCTGTTATTTCAAGATACTTGATGATCAGAGGAAAGGACCCTTGGTCCCACAGGGTCGTTTTTGATTCAATGCGATCTTTCAGCTTGGTGTTACCTAGGAGTAGAAGCCAGATGGAGGAGGTTGAGGTACCCTGGAGATGTGACACCCCTGATGAGGGCAGTGCCCCCAGCTCTTCTAATCTGAGTTGCTAATTTCCTGCAGAATCTGCCCCTCATCCTAATCAGAAAACCCCAGACTGGCGAGGAGGTCCCATCACATTCATTTACCTGGCCAGGACAACGTCTAACTAATCCAAAATAAAATAATATTCCTATTTAGAGAGCACCAACTCAGACGTGCCAAATACTGTACATGCAACATCTCAAGTAATCTTCACAACATTTGCAAGAAATAGATCATGTCTTGCTTATTGCAGATAAGGAAACTGAGGCTCAGAGAGATTAAGTAGTTGCCCAAACTCTTACTTACATATTGTCGGCAGAAACATAAACCAGCACAATATCTTTGGAAGGTAGTTTGCAGTATCTACCAGAATTACAAATGCACATATAAAAGTAAATGTCCACCCAAGAAAGAAAAGGCTAAATAAATGATAGTTCACCCATTCAATGGAGTGCTGTATGGGAAGAATGAGGAAGCACTTTATATATGAGATCGAATAATATCTAAGAAACATCATTAACTGAATAAAGCAAGAAATTAAACAGGCTACCATTTGTTTAAAAAGGAGGGGGAAATTTATCTATCATCTATCTATCTATCATCTATTGCCTTGCATATGAAAAAATATCTCTAGAAGTAAACAGAAGGAAATGGTAACATTGGTTGCCTCTGGGGAGAGGGCGCGGATACCCATGAGACAGGTGTGGGATGCGGCTTTTCACTATATACCTTTTTCTACCTTTTGAATTTTGACTCCAGTAAGTGGTGGAGCCAGGATTAAAACTCAGGTCTGGGGCCGGCCTGGTGGCGCAGCGGTAAAGTGCGTAGATTCTGCTTTGACGGCCCACGGTTTGCCATTTCGGATCCCAGGTGCAAACATGGCACCACTTGGCAAGCCATGCTGTGGTAGGCATCCCACATATAAAGTAGAGGAGGATGGGCACGGATGTTAGCTCAGGGCCAGTCTTCCTCAGGAAAAAGAGGAGGATTGACAGTAGTTAGCTCAGGGCTAATCTTCCTCAAAAAAACAAACAAACAAAACTCAGGCCTGTTGGGTACACTGTGCAGTACTGCCTCGGGAAGCTTCCTCTGGCATGGATATGTGATCTCCTCCAGTCTCCTCTTTTAATATCTAACAAACTTCACCAAGAGGAAGTTCTTCTCTTTAGCTAACCTTTTTCTGGGTATAGCAGCAGCTCCAGAATTCCTGTAGAGGCGAGCTTTAGAAGATAAAGGTACACAGCAAGCACACAGTTTTTTACTTAGAATGCATATTTGGAGGGATGGGGTGAAGGTGGCTGAGATAAAGCCCCAGCCTCACACCCCTGGGCACCACCTCTGCCTCCCTGAGCAGTCCCGGGCCCTTTCTCTAGGTGCGGGAGGTTGGATGTCTTGTCAGCCCTGCAGTCTCCCTTCTCTCCTCTTCCAGACCTCATATCCCCTTCCCCACTGCTCAGGCTCATCCTCTTCTGGAGGCCTTTGCTTTATCTGAATATCTTGCCATCACCTCAAACTCACCTGATTCCAAATGAAATGTATCAACCTTTCCCTAAACGAGCTCTTCCTCCTTACTTCCTTTTTCCTTTTTCTGGGCCCCATCCTGGCCCACTTGTCCGGGCTGTCCCATACTTTGTAGAAGTGATTGCAAGGTGGCAAGAAAGGGCTAAGAGTGTGGGTGAGTCTGGGATAAATTCATGGAGGAGACCAGTATTGAACCAAGCCTTAAAAGAGTGGACTTAAAGGCAGTGGACCAGAGGAATGGGAGCCACGAAGACATCCAGGAAGGGAGAAAAGCTCCAGGGAAGCAGTACAGGAACCACCTCAAAGCAGTGAGGAAACCACTTGGGTGTGGAGGTTTCCATCTGGGAAGCTGTGGGAAGACATGCTGGGGGATGAATGTTCAGCGGAAGCTTCTAGGCTTAGTCTAATGGACTAGGGAGTGACATGTGCAAAGCATTGCTTTGGAAGTCAGTGCTGCAGCAGGTGGAAAAGAAATGAAAGTAGGAGAGACCAGTAGCAGAGAGAATTGCCAGGAATCTTCCACTGTAATCCAGGTGAGAGGTATGTGGCCTTGGCTGATGAAGGTGGCATTTCCATGGGAACGAAGAAGATGAAACAAAACTACTTCCAAAGGAAGGGATGGCCAAACCAGGGGTTGAAGCAGAGAAAGAAATTTGACTCTGTGGTTCAGAAATTGGAGGAGTCCGGAGAGTGATACTGCCCTTGTCAGAGCTCAGGAAGTTGGGAAGGGGAACTGTCTGGAGGAAAATCAGATCACAGAAGCAGAACGAAAGCATTGACACAAGAGACCTAAGAATTTTTAGAAAGGAGCATATTGTTTCAATCTCACAGGCAATCAAAGAAATGCAAATTAAAATAACAATGATGTTCAACTATTAAATCAGAAAAAAAAGTTTTAAATCCTACTACTCAGTGCTGGCAAGGGTGCTAGGGAGCGAGGCACACAGTGACATTAACTAGACTTTGTGTAAATGGACAGGACCTTTCTGGAAGCAGTGTTGCAGTATATGCCAACTATTTTTAAAAGTTCATATCCTTAATTTATTTCTAGAACTTTATCCTTAAAATAATAACTTAAAAATGCAAACCAAAATGTAGATATAAAAATAATAATTATAGTGTTGTTAATAGGGTACAATGTTAGACAAAAGGATAATGTCTGTCTATTAGTGTATGCTAATTTGGTGGGATATCAGGTTGGCATAAAAATATTTATACGTAATTCTTAATGAAATGAAAAATATTCATAATATATACTTTTTAAGTCACGTCAAGGTAATCTTTATTTTTTAGGTTACAAAAATTATACGGATGCAACACTTCCCTTTTCCCTTGCCCACCCTTCCAATACTACTGTAAACAGTTTGGGGTGGAGTCCTCCAAGGTTTTTTCTTTGCTCATGCAAACATATATTCACATACATTGAATTTTTTAATTAAAATGGGATTATATTACATATATAGCTTACTCTTTCCACTTAACAAAATATGCTTGACATCCTTCTAAGCATCTGTATGTGGAGCTTCTTCATTCTTTTTTTCATTTTGTTTAGAAATTATGAAAGCTAATCATTTTATTCTGGTGATTTTTTTAAATTAAATATTTTGTTTTGAGATAACTGCAGATTCACATGCAATCGTAAGAAATAATACAGAGAGATCTCACGTACCCTTGACCCAGGTCATCCCAACTGCAATAGCTTACAAAACTATCTACACTATCACGACCAGGATATTGGCATTGATACAATTAAGATACAGAACATTTCCAGCACCATAAAGATGTGGCCCTTTTCTAGCCACACCCTCCTCCTTCCCAAACCTTTCTCCTCCTTAACTCCTGGCAATCACTAATCTGTTCTCCATTTTTATAATTTGTGATTTCAAGGATGTTACATAAATGGAATTATACAGTATGTTTCCTTTTAGGATTGGCTTTTTTTCACCCAGCATAATTCTCTGGAGATTCATCCAGGTTGTTGTATAACTATACATGGTTCATACTTTTTTACTTCCCAAAAGTATTCCATGATATAGATATGACCATTCACCCATTAAAGGACATCTGAATTGTTTCTAGTTGTTCGTTATTACAAATAAAGCTACTATAAACGTTTGTGTACGGATTTTTGTGTGAACGTAAGTCTTCATTTTTCTGGGATAAATGCCTAGGAGTGCAATTGCTGGGTTGTTGCATGTTTAGTTTTTAAAGAAACTGCCAAACTGTTCTCCAGGGTGGCTGTACCATTTTACACTCCTTCCAACAATGTAAGAGTAAACCAGTTTCTCTGCATCCTCACCAGCATTTGGTGTTGTCACTGTTTTTTATTCTGGCCATTCTGATAGGTGAGTAGTGATATCTCATTATGGTTTTAATTTGCATTTCCCTAATGACTAATGATGTTGAACACATTTTCATGTACTTATTTGCCATCTTTATATTCTCTTTGGTGAAATATCTGTTTGTGTCTTTTGCCCATTTTCTGATTGAATTGTTTGTTTTTTGGTATTGAGTTTTGACAGTTGTTTACATATTCTAGATTCTAGTCCTTTGTTAGATATATAATATAGTTTGCATATATTTTCTCACACTCTATAAATTTTTTCCTCTTCTTCTTTTTTTTTTTTAAAGATTTTATTTTTCCTTTTTCTCCCCAAAGGCCCCTGGTATATAGTTGTATATTTTTAGTTGTGGGTTCTTCTAGTTGTGGCATGTGGGACGCGGCCTCAGCATGGCCTGACAAGTGGTACCATGTCCGCGCCCAGGATCCGAACCAGTGAAGCCCTGGGCCGCTGAAGTGGAGCTCGTGAACTTAACCACTCGGCCACGGAGCCGGCCCGTCCTCTTCTTAATAGAGTCTTTTGCAGAGCAAAAGTTTTTAATTTTGATGAAGATCAGTTCATCCATTTTTCCTTTTATGGATCATGTTTTTGGTGTCAAGTGTAAAAACTCTTTGCCTACTGTAAATCCTGAAGATCTCCCATGTAATACAATTGTATATTTTACACTTACGTTCATAGTCCATTTTGAGTTAATTTTAAAGTAAGGTGTGAGAATTAGGTCAAGGGTTTGTTGTTGTTCATTTTGTTGTTTTTAACCTATGGATGTCCAATTACTCCAGCACCGTTTATTGAAAAGCCTATCTTTCCTTCATGGAATTGCTTTTGTACTTTTGTAAAAACAATCAGTTGGGCATATTTATGTGGGTCTGTTTCTGGGTTCCCTGTTTTGCTCCATTGGTCCATGTGTCTATCCCCCGCTAATACCACACAGTCTTGATTACTCTAGCTATGTAATAAGTCTTGAAAGGAGACAGACTGATTTCTCCTACTTTCTTTTTTCAAAATTGTTTTAGCTTTCTATATAAATTTTAGAATAACCTTGTCTATATCTACAAAAAAATCTTGTCG